GATTTATTCGTGTACGCACCAGACGGAAAAACAAAAAATATCGTGTATCCACAAACACTCCAATAAATAAATAGAATTGAAACGACACTTTGAAATGTTTTCCCGATGAAAATTAATAATAATAATAAGTTTCAATAAAAATAATAAAATGTAAATTGAATTTTATCATAACGAGTTTGCTTGAATTTCCTTTCTTCTGAGATCGCAGCAATGCGCGACGGGTAAGCTAGTAATTAATATAAATTATTTAAAGTTATATAATCATTAAATTTCATAAATATAAAATTAAGGTAAACTGTATAGAATATGAAAAAATAATTACCTTGTAATGCTGGACGATAGCCTCTACAATAAACTGATCCAAGATTTGAAGTGGAAGATAGAAGTGTTCCAAGTTGTAACTGAGGACTTCTATTGACTTTTGGAGAATTCTGACAAATATTTGTTCCTACAATATATGTATGTATAAAATAAGTTATTTCATATAACTTTTAATTCATGTTCCAATAGTTATCTTAAAAATATGTTACTTAAAAATAATTTAAATTTAAAATGTGAGGCTATACATGATTATTTTGAAGGCAGTTTTCTGTAAATCCTTTTAATATAAACTTTTATTACGTTTATAGTACAAGTTCAGTTTATTTTTGACTTTATCATATACTATAGAACAGTATTTCCCAACCAGTGTGCCATAAGAGTTCTTCAGATGTGTTGTGAAAATTATTTAATAGTCATTTTTTTAAATTTTATTTATCTTTCATCTTTTTATTGCTGGCCAAACTGACGAATGAATGAAGTTTCACTAAAATGCCGATTGTTGCAAAATTTGTGGCATCAACATACCCCCTTGCAAAAGTTGCATACATCTATAGGTATGCCAGGATTCTCCGATCTCCGAGTACAAACTCTGGAGATTCTATAAATGTTCATCTTACCAGCTTAAAGACCAATACTAGCTCTTTATGTATTGATTCAAATAGTCTTTTTATTTTTATAATATATTTGCAAAACTAAGTTTTTGTCTTGTTTAGTTTAACTTCCATGTTACCAAAATTTTTTAAAATCAACAACATTATAGGAAAATAGTTGACAAGGAAAATTTTAAATTTTCCTTGTCAACTATTCATCCCAAATAAAGAAATGATACAAATAGGCACAAATATCACATTAGGATTAGACTGTTTTGATAAACTTTGTTAAATAAATAACTTTTTTTTAAACTATACTTGGTTCTATTACATTTAATACAATTATTTATTTTATAATAAACAAAAACATATATAAAAGTGTATTATAATTGTGGTAATTTTAAACATTTCTGTTTTAAAACTTATGGCGTGTTGCAGGAATCTTATTAAATTCAAAGTATGTCACTAATACAAGAAAGTTGGGAAACTGCTGTAGAAGGCTAAAATATTCTTGTAAACATTGGTAAATGAATTTTCTTTCATAAATTATATANGGTAATTTTAAACATTTCTGTTTTAAAACTTATGGCGTGTTGCAGGAATCTTATTAAATTCAAAGTATATCACTAATACAAGAAAGTTGGGAAACTGCTGTAGAAGGCTAAAATATTCTTGTAAACATTGGTAAATGAATTTTCTTTCATAAATTATATATTACTAAAACGTTTTAAATACAAAATTCTGATTTATACTTTAAATAAGATTCATTATAACTACTTTAATTTTAATTTTTATAATTTTGAAATAATGTAGTAGTAATAATAATAGCTTACCTTGTTTCCCTCTTGTTTCACATTTATTACTTGCAAAATTTCCTTGATTTTTATTTACTAATGGAGGTGTAGAAAACCGATTAGGTGGTGGCATAGGTGCACTGTTTGTTAAATTTCCAACTAAAGGAATGTTTTGTCTTATTGTTGGAAACGATCTTATAAAAGTCTGATTGGATGGTACAGCATTCGGAGGTTTAACCGATGTCGAATGCTGAGAATGAAGTGGTTGATACAAAGCATAATTAAAGCTTGGTTGTGGGGCTACTGGATGAGACTGAACAGCTACATTTTGCATCGGAGGAGTCTGAGGACGGAAGGAATTATAAGGTGAATTTGGAATATTTGTACTATGTGAAATAGTAGTTCCTGTTAACATATAAGATGACAGATTTGATGAATTATTAGAGACTGGCTGAGGAAGATGTGTAGATGGTATTAATGGAGAATTTTGTTGAACATGACTAGAATTAGAAGGATTAGCACCAGGCACTGCCATTGTTGGATACTGATATAAACCAGAAGTGGAAGTTACAACTGATGGTTGGAATCCCGAAGCATAGCTGTAAAAGGGCATGCTTATTGTGTTCCCAGTCTGTGGTAAAAGAACTGCATTGCAGTTTGAAAGGCATGATGCATCTGTAAAAATTTATATAAATCAATCATTTAATATTTATAGAAAATTAAATATTTAATTAATTTTCATATAATAATAAATTTTCATATATAATAAAAATTCTCTTATATATGTATATGACAAAAATTTTATGATATGTCAATGAAATATTTTTTTATATTGAAAATATAACAAATAATAATCATCATATTTTTAACTGGTTCAAACTTCATGTCAAAATGTAAGAATTTGTAGCAACACACTAAAAGTATTAAATCCATTAAACTAAGATTTCCAACCTTATCATTAGCAACTCTGAGGGGTCAAGTGACTTATCTTGGTTCAATAAATAGCAATCATTTCAGGGTAATCAGCAAAATTTATTTGTATTATATTTTTAAATATAAAAATAAATAAAGCTTTAAATTCAATTTAAGTAAAACTCAATTTTGAGTTACATTTAATAAAAAAAAAATATTAATTCCAGTTTGATTTTTAATTTAATCCTGTTTATAATTTATTTTGTATCAGTATAAGAGGAATGCACTAAATCTAATTTAGACAGTGATTGACAAGTGAAAAGCATTTGGAGCCTTTGTATTAGACCAATTATTCCCAACAAATGTGCTGTAAAAATTATCATTAGTGTGTGCTACAAAATATTCAAATTAGATATGTAAAATATAAATTTTCTGTAATGCCTTTTATTTCAGTTTGATATCAGAATAAAATAAAAATTATTCAAACTTTTTAGTAAATGTATCAAAACTAACAGTTCATTAAAATGCAACTACAGTATAACAAGATGAAGAAAACAAATAAATAAATGAATATTTTGAAAATTTATCAGTACTGTAATTTTGTGCAGTTAACCCACAGGTTATTGGTATTTAAAAGCAGGCTGGATTATGCATTATGCAATCGGATGGATTATATGCCAATTTTAAATTGAAATTAGCACATTGACTGCCATGTAAGTCAAATATAATTTTCACTAGGTTGAGACTCCAATGCCATGCCAGTTATATATTGCTCTGTTGCAAGTTTGTTTTTAAAACCACATGAATTGTTCATGACTCACAGTTTTATATTGAAACATAAGGTAATGATAGCTGATGGCATAGGGACAGTTTCATATATTTAGTCTGAAAATTTTAGCTCAATGTTATTAACTACTAGGAAAAAAGTGTGATATCATTCATTGATATTTTAACAGTAAATCTGATGTTTTGAAAATAATTTTCAAGAAAGAAAATGTAAAATTTACGTAAAAAACTTATATGCATATTTTGATTTGTTCTACCTTAGGAGATATAACTAAAATGTATAGTACAAGAGTTACAAAATATCAAAACAAATCAGAAAATTTATAAATTTTGACTAAGTATTTGTCCTAGCAGGCTGGTATTTAGAATGACTCATGCAGTGTTATGCAAGCTATTAATGACTCACATAAGTAAGACAGTTATTTGACCCAAATTAGCAAGTTTATTGCACTGATCATATATATATATATGATCAGTGCAATCATTGGACATACGTACATATGTATGTATGTATGTATGTATGTCCAACTGTTAAGTATAATGAGAAGAATAACAGTTACGGCCCAAAGCAAAAGTTGTTTTTCAGTGTGCAGTCAATGTGTTAAATGTTTAAACAGTTCTTTCCTTTGTCTAAAGATCAACATACAGTAAAGACTAAGAACATCTTTAGAGAATAGAAAAAAAAATCCTTTGTCCTCTGCAGACATGTTCATCTGCCATTACAATTTTCCCAAAACCAATAAAAACATGTAAATGTATAGCTCACCTTTAAATCTCTCTTTCAGTTTCTGTACATAAATCCATGCTTTAATTATTAGACACACCTACTTGAACTTTTATCTTAAACACTAATAAATTTCCAGTTAATTCCCTCTCTGTATGTAATGTCATTATTTCAGAGAACTACTTAGTAACTGATTCAAGTTTATAAATTCATTGGACTACAATTTGAAAAAATCATAACCTATAAATTCTCACTGCTGTCCATCTGTCTGTCTTTCTTTAATCTTGGGAATGGTATTAGATAGATAAAATCTGAGATCAGATATGGAAACCTTAGAAGCAAGCAGTCCAATTAACTATATACGAACGTCTGATGAGAAGCAGAAGTCATGTTATTTCAATTTAGTTTTCCCTGTAAGGAATTAGATAGACGACTGGCACAACTCTATTGTTAAAGGGAAAGTATGATGTACAGGGGCAAGAGACTACAATACTAATTTAAGGTAAAGAACACATATTTTAAGTGAAATAAATTAAAAATATGATTAGAAATTGCAGCCCAGCATTATGATGATGTCACAATAAATAATTGCTCATTCCTTTTCTATAGCAATGAAAATGAATTTTAATGATTAGAATAATTATATAGATCAGTTCAAACAGGAGTTAATACTCATGATGCTAGATTTAAAATTTTCATGGAATTTTGCACCCATGTGAAGACCTGCCCAAAACATTTTGTAAAATTTCCATTTTTGGTGATTTTATATTAGTCCAAATTTTAAACTTTTTGAAATAGCCATTATTTTGAACACACTTTTCTCAAAAGTATGCTCATAGTTCATTTTTTTTAATTCAAATACTTTTTGTACAAAGTTTTCAAATGTTTAATGTTTGAAGCTGAACAGTTCAAAACATTCTCTTTGATTTCAACCATTTTTACCACTTTTTACTCACATCCTAGTTCTACTGAATGGCAAAGTTTGGTAGAATCTATTTTCCATTCAACCTCAAAGTCAAAATTTTGGTGCTCCATTTGTAGAAAACCACACACTTAATGTAAGTTTATGAGTCCAGAAGCAAGATGCTCCTGGGCTCGTAATGTTATTAAAGCTATATTTTGGCTATTACAATTTTATATAAAATAATTAGCAATCTAACTTCTTACATTTATAACATATTATTTTAAATTAATCATTACGAGTTAGCCAAATTATAGCCTGAATAATCTGGTATTTAATAATTTGATTATTAGAGAATATTCAGGTTTTTTATATATACCTACAATGAATTTCTAACAAAAATGAAACTAAATAAACAACATTTTAATGTTTAGGGTAGTGGCTTCTAAACAGCATACCAGTAAGTGTCATGTTTTCAATAGTCACAATGTAGATGCAGGGTATACAGTAGTGCAGATTATGTAGAGGTTTTTTATGTTCCAAGAATTTTCAGTAAGGTATACACCACCACAGATTATCTACACAAAATTATGGTAATTATTACCATAATTTTGTGTAGATAATCTGTGGTGGTGTATACCTTACTGAAAATTCTTGGAACATAAAAAACCTCTACATAATCTGCACTACTGTATACCCTGCATCTACATTGTGACTATTGAAAACATGACACTTACTGGTATGCTGTTTAGAAGCCACTACCCTAAACATTAAAATGTTGTTTATTTAGTTTCATTTTTGTTAGAAATTCATTGTAGGTATATATAAAAAACCTGAATATTCTCTAATAATCAAATTATTAAATACCAGATTATTCAGGCTATAATTTGGCTAACTCGTAATGATTAATTTAAAATAATATGTTATAAATGTAAGAAGTTAGATTGCTAATTATTTTATATAAAATTGTAATAGCCAAAATATAGCTTTAATAACATTACGAGCCCAGGAGCATCTTGCTTCTGGACTCATAAACTTACATTAAGTGTGTGGTTTTCTACAAATGGAGCACCAAAATTTTGACTTTGAGGTTGAATGGAAAATAGATTCTACCAAACTTTGCCATTCAGTAGAACTAGGATGTGAGTAAAAAGTGGTAAAAATGGTTGAAATCAAAGAGAATGTTTTGAGCTGTTCAGCTTCAAACATTAAACATTTGAAAACTTTGTACAAAAAGTATTTGAATTAAAAAAAATGAACTATGAGCATACTTTTGAGAAAAGTGTGTTCAAAATAATGGCTATTTCAAAAAGTTTAAAATTTGGACTAATATAAAATCACCAAAAATGGAAATTTTACAAAATGTTTTGGGCAGGTCTTCACATGGGTGCAAAATTCCATGAAAATTTTAAATCTAGCATCATGAGTATTAACTCCTGTTTGAACTGATCTATATAATTATTCTAATCATTAAAATTCATTTTCATTGCTATAGAAAAGGAATGAGCAATTATTTATTGTGACATCATCATAATGCTGGGCTGCAATTTCTAATCATATTTTTAATTTATTTCACTTAAAATATGTGTTCTTTACCTTAAATTAGTATTGTAGTCTCTTGCCCCTGTACATCATACTTTCCCTTTAACAATAGAGTTGTGCCAGTCGTCTATCTAATTCCTTACAGGAAAAACTAAATTGAAATAACATGACTTCTGGTTCTCATCAGACGTTCGTATATAGTTAATTGGACTGCTTGCTTCTAAGGTTTCCATATCTGATCTCAGATTTTATCTATCTAATACCATTCCCAAGATTAAAGAAAGACAGACAGATGGACAGCAGTGAGAATTTATAGGTTATGATTTTTTCAAATTGTAGTCCAATGAATTTATAAACTTGAATCAGTTACTAAGTAGTTCTCTGAAATAATGACATTACATACAGAGAGGGAATTAACTGGAAATTTATTAGTGTTTAAGATAAAAGTTCAAGTAGGTGTGTCTAATAATTAAAGCATGGATTTATGTACAGAAACTGAAAGAGAGATTTAAAGGTGAGCTATACATTTACATGTTTTTATTGGTTTTGGGAAAATTGTAATGGCAGATGAACATGTCTGCAGAGGACAAAGGATTTTTTTTTCTATTCTCTAAAGATGTTCTTAGTCTTNCACCAGACGGAAAAACAAAAAATATCGTGTATCCACAAACACTCCAATAAATAAATAGAATTGAAACGACACTTTGAAATGTTTTCCCGATGAAAATTAATAATAATAATAAGTTTCAATAAAAATAATAAAATGTAAATTGAATTTTATCATAACGAGTTTGCTTGAATTTCCTTTCTTCTGAGATCGCAGCAATGCGCGACGGGTAAGCTAGTAATTAATATAAATTATTTAAAGTTATATAATCATTAAATTTCATAAATATAAAATTAAGGTAAACTGTATAGAATATGAAAAAATAATTACCTTGTAATGCTGGACGATAGCCTCTACAATAAACTGATCCAAGATTTGAAGTGGAAGATAGAAGTGTTCCAAGTTGTAACTGAGGACTTCTATTGACTTTTGGAGAATTCTGACAAATATTTGTTCCTACAATATATGTATGTATAAAATAAGTTATTTCATATAACTTTTAATTCATGTTCCAATAGTTATCTTAAAAATATGTTACTTAAAAATAATTTAAATTTAAAATGTGAGGCTATACATGATTATTTTGAAGGCAGTTTTCTGTAAATCCTTTTAATATAAACTTTTATTACGTTTATAGTACAAGTTCAGTTTATTTTTGACTTTATCATATACTATAGAACAGTATTTCCCAACCAGTGTGCCATAAGAGTTCTTCAGATGTGTTGTGAAAATTATTTAATAGTCATTTTTTTAAATTTTATTTATCTTTCATCTTTTTATTGCTGGCCAAACTGACGAATGAATGAAGTTTCACTAAAATGCCGATTGTTGCAAAATTTGTGGCATCAACATACCCCCTTGCAAAAGTTGCATACATCTATAGGTATGCCAGGATTCTCCGATCTCCGAGTACAAACTCTGGAGATTCTATAAATGTTCATCTTACCAGCTTAAAGACCAATACTAGCTCTTTATGTATTGATTCAAATAGTCTTTTTATTTTTATAATATATTTGCAAAACTAAGTTTTTGTCTTGTTTAGTTTAACTTCCATGTTACCAAAATTTTTTAAAATCAACAACATTATAGGAAAATAGTTGACAAGGAAAATTTTAAATTTTCCTTGTCAACTATTCATCCCAAATAAAGAAATGATACAAATAGGCACAAATATCACATTAGGATTAGACTGTTTTGATAAACTTTGTTAAATAAATAACTTTTTTTTAAACTATACTTGGTTCTATTACATTTAATACAATTATTTATTTTATAATAAACAAAAACATATATAAAAGTGTATTATAATTGTGGTAATTTTAAACATTTCTGTTTTAAAACTTATGGCGTGTTGCAGGAATCTTATTAAATTCAAAGTATATCACTAATACAAGAAAGTTGGGAAACTGCTGTAGAAGGCTAAAATATTCTTGTAAACATTGGTAAATGAATTTTCTTTCATAAATTATATATTACTAAAACGTTTTAAATACAAAATTCTGATTTATACTTTAAATAAGATTCATTATAACTACTTTAATTTTAATTTTTATAATTTTGAAATAATGTAGTAGTAATAATAATAGCTTACCTTGTTTCCCTCTTGTTTCACATTTATTACTTGCAAAATTTCCTTGATTTTTATTTACTAATGGAGGTGTAGAAAACCGATTAGGTGGTGGCATAGGTGCACTGTTTGTTAAATTTCCAACTAAAGGAATGTTTTGTCTTATTGTTGGAAACGATCTTATAAAAGTCTGATTGGATGGTACAGCATTCGGAGGTTTAACCGATGTCGAATGCTGAGAATGAAGTGGTTGATACAAAGCATAATTAAAGCTTGGTTGTGGGGCTACTGGATGAGACTGAACAGCTACATTTTGCATCGGAGGAGTCTGAGGACGGAAGGAATTATAAGGTGAATTTGGAATATTTGTACTATGTGAAATAGTAGTTCCTGTTAACATATAAGATGACAGATTTGATGAATTATTAGAGACTGGCTGAGGAAGATGTGTAGATGGTATTAATGGAGAATTTTGTTGAACATGACTAGAATTAGAAGGATTAGCACCAGGCACTGCCATTGTTGGATACTGATATAAACCAGAAGTGGAAGTTACAACTGATGGTTGGAATCCCGAAGCATAGCTGTAAAAGGGCATGCTTATTGTGTTCCCAGTCTGTGGTAAAAGAACTGCATTGCAGTTTGAAAGGCATGATGCATCTGTAAAAATTTATATAAATCAATCATTTAATATTTATAGAAAATTAAATATTTAATTAATTTTCATATAATAATAAATTTTCATATATAATAAAAATTCTCTTATATATGTATATGACAAAAATTTTATGATATGTCAATGAAATATTTTTTTATATTGAAAATATAACAAATAATAATCATCATATTTTTAACTGGTTCAAACTTCATGTCAAAATGTAAGAATTTGTAGCAACACACTAAAAGTATTAAATCCATTAAACTAAGATTTCCAACCTTATCATTAGCAACTCTGAGGGGTCAAGTGACTTATCTTGGTTCAATAAATAGCAATCATTTCAGGGTAATCAGCAAAATTTATTTGTATTATATTTTTAAATATAAAAATAAATAAAGCTTTAAATTCAATTTAAGTAAAACTCAATTTTGAGTTACATTTAATAAAAAAAAAATATTAATTCCAGTTTGATTTTTAATTTAATCCTGTTTATAATTTATTTTGTATCAGTATAAGAGGAATGCACTAAATCTAATTTAGACAGTGATTGACAAGTGAAAAGCATTTGGAGCCTTTGTATTAGACCAATTATTCCCAACAAATGTGCTGTAAAAATTATCATTAGTGTGTGCTACAAAATATTCAAATTAGATATGTAAAATATAAATTTTCTGTAATGCCTTTTATTTCAGTTTGATATCAGAATAAAATAAAAATTATTCAAACTTTTTAGTAAATGTATCAAAACTAACAGTTCATTAAAATGCAACTACAGTATAACAAGATGAAGAAAACAAATAAATAAATGAATATTTTGAAAATTTATCAGTACTGTAATTTTGTGCAGTTAACCCACAGGTTATTGGTATTTAAAAGCAGGCTGGATTATGCATTATGCAATCGGATGGATTATATGCCAATTTTAAATTGAAATTAGCACATTGACTGCCATGTAAGTCAAATATAATTTTCACTAGGTTGAGACTCCAATGCCATGCCAGTTATATATTGCTCTGTTGCAAGTTTGTTTTTAAAACCACATGAATTGTTCATGACTCACAGTTTTATATTGAAACATAAGGTAATGATAGCTGATGGCATAGGGACAGTTTCATATATTTAGTCTGAAAATTTTAGCTCAATGTTATTAACTACTAGGAAAAAAGTGTGATATCATTCATTGATATTTTAACAGTAAATCTGATGTTTTGAAAATAATTTTCAAGAAAGAAAATGTAAAATTTACGTAAAAAACTTATATGCATATTTTGATTTGTTCTACCTTAGGAGATATAACTAAAATGTATAGTACAAGAGTTACAAAATATCAAAACAAATCAGAAAATTTATAAATTTTGACTAAGTATTTGTCCTAGCAGGCTGGTATTTCGAATGACTCATGCAGTGTTATGCAAGCTATTAATGACTCACATAAGTAAGACAGTTATTTGACCCAAATTAGCAAGTTTATTGCACTGATCATATATATATATATGATCAGTGCAATCATTGGACATACGTACATATGTATGTATGTATGTATGTCCAACTGTTAAGTATAATGAGAAGAATAACAGTTACAGCCCAAAGCAAAAGTTGTTTTTCAGTGTGCAGTCAATGTGTTAAATGTTTAAACAGTTCTTTCCTTTGTCTAAAGATCAACATACAGTAAAGACTAAGAACATCTTTAGAGAATAGAAAAAAAAATCCTTTGTCCTCTGCAGACATGTTCATCTGCCATTACAATTTTCCCAAAACCAATAAAAACATGTAAATGTATAGCTCACCTTTAAATCTCTCTTTCAGTTTCTGTACATAAATCCATGCTTTAATTATTAGACACACCTACTTGAACTTTTATCTTAAACACTAATAAATTTCCAGTTAATTCCCTCTCTGTATGTAATGTCATTATTTCAGAGAACTACTTAGTAACTGATTCAAGTTTATAAATTCATTGGACTACAATTTGAAAAAATCATAACCTATAAATTCTCACTGCTGTCCATCTGTCTGTCTTTCTTTAATCTTGGGAATGGTATTAGATAGATAAAATCTGAGATCAGATATGGAAACCTTAGAAGCAAGCAGTCCAATTAACTATATACGAACGTCTGATGAGAAGCAGAAGTCATGTTATTTCAATTTAGTTTTCCCTGTAAGGAATTAGATAGACGACTGGCACAACTCTATTGTTAAAGGGAAAGTATGATGTACAGGGGCAAGAGACTACAATACTAATTTAAGGTAAAGAACACATATTTTAAGTGAAATAAATTAAAAATATGATTAGAAATTGCAGCCCAGCATTATGATGATGTCACAATAAATAATTGCTCATTCCTTTTCTATAGCAATGAAAATGAATTTTAATGATTAGAATAATTATATAGATCAGTTCAAACAGGAGTTAATACTCATGATGCTAGATTTAAAATTTTCATGGAATTTTGCACCCATGTGAAGACCTGCCCAAAACATTTTGTAAAATTTCCATTTTTGGTGATTTTATATTAGTCCAAATTTTAAACTTTTTGAAATAGCCATTATTTTGAACACACTTTTCTCAAAAGTATGCTCATAGTTCATTTTTTTTAATTCAAATACTTTTTGTACAAAGTTTTCAAATGTTTAATGTTTGAAGCTGAACAGCTCAAAACATTCTCTTTGATTTCAACCATTTTTACCACTTTTTACTCACATCCTAGTTCTACTGAATGGCAAAGTTTGGTAGAATCTATTTTCCATTCAACCTCAAAGTCAAAATTTTGGTGCTCCATTTGTAGAAAACCACACACTTAATGTAAGTTTATGAGTCCAGAAGCAAGATGCTCCTGGGCTCGTAATGTTATTAAAGCTATATTTTGGCTATTACAATTTTATATAAAATAATTAGCAATCTAACTTCTTACATTTATAACATATTATTTTAAATTAATCATTACGAGTTAGCCAAATTATAGCCTGAATAATCTGGTATTTAATAATTTGATTATTAGAGAATATTCAGGTTTTTTATATATACCTACAATGAATTTCTAACAAAAATGAAACTAAATAAACAACATTTTAATGTTTAGGGTAGTGGCTTCTAAACAGCATACCAGTAAGTGTCATGTTTTCAATAGTCACAATGTAGATGCAGGGTATACAGTAGTGCAGATTATGTAGAGGTTTTTTATGTTCCAAGAATTTTCAGTAAGGTATACACCACCACAGATTATCTACACAAAATTATGGTAATTATTACCATAATTTTGTGTAGATAATCTGTGGTGGTGTATACCTTACTGAAAATTCTTGGAACATAAAAAACCTCTACATAATCTGCACTACTGTATACCCTGCATCTACATTGTGACTATTGAAAACATGACACTTACTGGTATGCTGTTTAGAAGCCACTACCCTAAACATTAAAATGTTGTTTATTTAGTTTCATTTTTGTTAGAAATTCATTGTAGGTATATATAAAAAACCTGAATATTCTCTAATAATCAAATTATTAAATACCAGATTATTCAGGCTATAATTTGGCTAACTCGTAATGATTAATTTAAAATAATATGTTATAAATGTAAGAAGTTAGATTGCTAATTATTTTATATAAAATTGTAATAGCCAAAATATAGCTTTAATAACATTACGAGCCCAGGAGCATCTTGCTTCTGGACTCATAAACTTACATTAAGTGTGTGGTTTTCTACAAATGGAGCACCAAAATTTTGACTTTGAGGTTGAATGGAAAATAGATTCTACCAAACTTTGCCATTCAGTAGAACTAGGATGTGAGTAAAAAGTGGTAAAAATGGTTGAAATCAAAGAGAATGTTTTGAGCTGTTCAGCTTCAAACATTAAACATTTGAAAACTTTGTACAAAAAGTATTTGAATTAAAAAAAATGAACTATGAGCATACTTTTGAGAAAAGTGTGTTCAAAATAATGGCTATTTCAAAAAGTTTAAAATTTGGACTAATATAAAATCACCAAAAATGGAAATTTTACAAAATGTTTTGGGCAGGTCTTCACATGGGTGCAAAATTCCATGAAAATTTTAAATCTAGCATCATGAGTATTAACTCCTGTTTGAACTGATCTATATAATTATTCTAATCATTAAAATTCATTTTCATTGCTATAGAAAAGGAATGAGCAATTATTTATTGTGACATCATCATAATGCTGGGCTGCAATTTCTAATCATATTTTTAATTTATTTCACTTAAAATATGTGTTCTTTACCTTAAATTAGTATTGTAGTCTCTTGCCCCTGTACATCATACTTTCCCTTTAACAATAGAGTTGTGCCAGTCGTCTATCTAATTCCTTACAGGAAAAACTAAATTGAAATAACATGACTTCTGGTTCTCATCAGACGTTCGTATATAGTTAATTGGACTGCTTGCTTCTAAGGTTTCCATATCTGATCTCAGATTTTATCTATCTAATACCATTCCCAAGATTAAAGAAAGACAGACAGATGGACAGCAGTGAGAATTTATAGGTTATGATTTTTTCAAATTGTAGTCCAATGAATTTATAAACTTGAATCAGTTACTAAGTAGTTCTCTGAAATAATGACATTACATACAGAGAGGGAATTAACTGGAAATTTATTAGTGTTTAAGATAAAAGTTCAAGTAGGTGTGTCTAATAATTAAAGCATGGATTTATGTACAGAAACTGAAAGAGAGATTTAAAGGTGAGCTATACATTTACATGTTTTTATTGGTTTTGGGAAAATTGTAATGGCAGATGAACATGTCTGCAGAGGACAAAGGATTTTTTTTTCTATTCTCTAAAGATGTTCTTAGTCTTTACTGTATGTTGATCTTTAGACAAAGGAAAGAACTGTTTAAACATTTAACACATTGACTGCACACTGAAAAACAACTTTTGCTTTGGGCCGTAACTGTTATTCTTCTCATTATACTTAACAGTTGGACATACATACATACATACATACATATGTACGTATGTCCAATGATTGCACTGATCATATATATATATATGATCAGTGCAATAAACTTGCTAATTTGGGTCAAATAACTGTCTTACTTATGTGAGTCATTAATAGCTTGCATAACACTGCATGAGTCATTCTAAATACCAGCCTGCTAGGACAAATACTTAGTCAAAATTTATAAATTTTCTGATTTGTTTTGATATTTTGTAACTCTTGTACTATACATTTTAGTTATATCTCCTAAGGTAGAACAAATCAAAATATGCATATAAGTTTTTTACGTAAATTTTACATTTTCTTTCTTGAAAATTATTTTCAAAACATCAGATTTACTGTTAAAATATCAATGAATGATATCACACTTTTTTCCTAGTAGTTAATAACATTGAGCTAAAATTTTCAGACTAAATATATGAAACTGTCCCTATGCCATCAGCTATCATTACCTTATGTTTCAATATAAAACTGTGAGTCATGAACAATTCATGTGGTTTTAAAAACAAACTTGCAACAGAGCAATATATAACTGGCATGGCATTGGAGTCTCAACCTAGTGAAAATTATATTTGACTTACATGGCAGTCAATGTGCTAATTTCAATTTAAAATTGGCATATAATCCATCCGATTGCATAATGCATAATCCAGCCTGCTTTTAAATACCAATAACCTGTGGGTTAACTGCACAAAATTACAGTACTGATAAATTTTCAAAATATTCATTTATTTATTTGTTTTCTTCATCTTGTTATACTGTAGTTGCATTTTAATGAACTGTTAGTTTTGATACATTTACTAAAAAGTTTGAATAATTTTTATTTTATTCTGATATCAAACTGAAATAAAAGGCATTACAGAAAATTTATATTTTACATATCTAATTTGAATATTTTGTAGCACACACTAATGATAATTTTTACAGCACATTTGTTGGGAATAATTGGTCTAATACAAAGGCTCCAAATGCTTTTCACTTGTCAATCACTGTCTAAATTAGATTTAGTGCATTCCTCTTATACTGATACAAAATAAATTATAAACAGGATTAAATTAAAAATCAAACTGGAATTAATATTTTTTTTTTATTAAATGTAACTCAAAATTGAGTTTTACTTAAATTGAATTTAAAGCTTTATTTATTTTTATATTTAAAAATATAATACAAATAAATTTTGCTGATTACCCTGAAATGATTGCTATTTATTGAACCAAGATAAGTCACTTGACCCCTCAGAGTTGCTAATGATAAGGTTGGAAATCTTAGTTTAATGGATTTAATACTTTTAGTGTGTTGCTACAAATTCTTACATTTTGACATGAAGTTTGAACCAGTTAAAAATATGATGATTATTATTTGTTATATTTTCAATATAAAAAAATATTTCATTGACATATCATAAAATTTTTGTCATATACATATATAAGAGAATTTTTATTATATATGAAAATNTCTGTGAGTAAGAACATAGATGCCACAGTGCTCACAGCATTTGCCAAACAGCAAGAGGTCGAGGTATATTGGGATCAAGCCTCGATCATTAGAGCCACGAATTCCAGAGAGGCATTGAAACACCTTGAAAAGATAGAGATACACAAGGCACACATAAATAAGGGACGCATTAATCATAGAGATGCGGAAGGGTTATCTTATGCCTGGAAATCCTTTTACAATAACGCAGATTAACACCTTGTAATCAACGTATATTCTCCTCCCCACCTTTTTTATGGCGGCTTCGTTATTTTTTTATGTTATTTACAAGTTATTTATAGATTTTCAGAAGACGTTACCGTCCGATGAAGTACGCATGCGCATTTCGGTTTTTATTTAATTTGTATTTCATGCGTTCTTTTTAAGTGTTCTTTCTTTTTTAATATTGGTTCAACTGAAGATGGCCGTTTAAAAATGGTTGAAAACGTTTTTATTAAACATTATTTATTGCTGGATAGTTAAAGGTTTATTTTATTTTATTTAATAATTATTACTTGTTTCTGATTGACCAGTAGCTTGAGAATTATCTCCTGTATTTTTCTGTGAAACTGCTGATCCATTAATCACTGATGTGCTATTCCCTGGTGCTATTCCTGATGATGCTGGCTGTAAACATGGGATTGGAAATGTATTTGGTGCACCTTGCTGGATATAACAAAGTGAAGGCTACAGAAGAAGTTTAAAAAATAATAATCATTGTTTTTAGCATAATATAAAGGAAACAAACATATACATTCATTTAATAGTTTTTCTAAAATAATTTATTAAAAATATTTAATTTGCAGAATAAATGCACACATGCATACACACAAATAAAAATATACAAACACAAACCATAAACATATAGTCTATATAATCAATTAGAAAAGATTATATTTATTTATTACCAGGGCCAGCATTAAGATGCTTGTCCCTTATGCAGGAATTTATATGGCACTCTAGAATTATTATTTTAATGTTTAGCAATTAATTGGTAATTTGTAACTGTAACTGTAATTAAAAAGAGATTTATTTTTATGATTTGTTTATTTAATTATAAGGGCTGCTTAGTGAAAATTAAAAAATTCTCCTTTTGTGTCTAAGGTGCCTGTCATTGGCATCCTTGGAATCAAGTACCCCTATGCTTTGCATAGCCAGCTTAGGGCATTCTGCCAGCCTTGTTTATTACAATATTTATTTCACCAGTAAAAAATTCTAGAGACTTCTGTAATCATGGAAATAAACTTTTACTTATTTTACATAAATCATCTATCAAAATTAATTTACAAGCATTTATGAATTTGTGTATTCATAGCTGATATTTTATATATTAACTAACTATACCCAGTTTAATTTTACCCACATATTACAGAATTGCCAACTATTCCATTTTAGAGCAGTGGTTTCCTTTTTTGGGCCATGCCCCACCTAGGTATCTCTAAATTCCTGATGCCTCCTGTGATACATAATTCTTATTATTCAAAAAGTGAATTCCTGTTTATGTGGAAAAACCCTAAAAAGTCATTAACTTGGTTTAAACAAGCTTCCAAAGAACATGGCATTTATGAAAGAGAAAAATAAAAAAATGAAAGGACAGTCGAAGTACCGAGGAAGAAATCACTAAGTAATTGTTTTTAAAAAAATAATAATATGAAGTGATATAAATAAACAGCAAATAAAGTTTCAAAACATATAACAGAGCTGAAATGCATAAATATAAAATTAATATAATTAATATAAAAATTATTTATAATATAAATACATACATTTATGTATCAAAGCCCTTCAACAATATTAACTGTTACATTACAAAAAATTTCCAATGCATAGAAGTACCACATAAGTGTCTTCTTTATTTCATTAAGTCCTTTTCACACTTCAGGAACAACTAGTCCTTACGATAGAGTCGACCTTTCTTTATAGGCTACTTTCCCCGCCCAATATGTAAAAATGGTTGTAAAATCTCAAGTTTCAACACAATCATATAAAATTAATTTACAATTAAAACATTACAATGCCAGGATGATTTTTAATTGTTTTAATTGTAAATTAATTTTATGATTGTGCCAAAAATTGAGAATATTTTACAACTGTTTTTACATATTGAGTGGGGAAAGTAGCCTATAAAGAAAGGTTGACTCCATTGTAAGGACTGTTTGTTCCCGAAGTGTGAAAAGGATATCATGAAATAAAGAAGACACTTATATGGTACTTCTATGCATTGGAATTTTTTTGTAATGCAATATTTATCGTCCTAGCATTTTTAATTAATTATTTCAATTGTGAAATAATAATTGTGCACACACACTAAATACTTTTTTACTTTATTCTAAGATCACTAGACTTACCAGATGTACCAGTTAATAATTTTGCAGATTTTGTTCAATAGATGGTGTTATACATATGTTGATATACAGTAGACCCTATAACACGATAGATACGTTCCGTTTTATATGAATTCCGTGTTTTACGAGTCACTTAAATACATGAGCCAATCACAGCCCGGCACATGTGCAGTTTAGGGACTACAGCTGTTTGAAAGGTTTTCTTCTATAAAATTAATAGATTCTAGACTAATTTGACTCAACATTTCCAAAACACATAATTTTTTGGGAATAATCCATATAAACTATGCTATAAACAAAAAATTGTAGGATTACTTACTGAGTGTGCACCATTCGACGACGCCACTGCTTAAGCTTGTTTTCGTTGCGGAGCGGCACATTGAATGGCAAGTGCATGTTTTCTAAGTTATTTTTCTGCGAAAAATTTGCTGAACTTTGGAGACATCATTAATAAAAATATAATTTTTATGGCCGTTGAATAATAAATGCTTTTTAGTAGGTCCAGTGCTCGTTTAAACTCAACGGTTTGTGCAATATCCACTATTGGTCTAGATTCAACCAATCTTGTTGCGACACAAGTCGGCGATGACGTTTTACCGTATTATATGAGTCTCTTTTAGTGCGTTTATATGAATACGATTGCAATTTTTTTCACTGTGTTATACAAATCCGTATTATATGAATCTGTGTTATAGGGGGGTCTACTGTATATACCATTTTGCTGTATTGACAAAAAGCTTTAAAACTTGATATATCAAATTTTCTGAAGGTGTTAACATCATAGATATTTCAACACTTAAAAATGTCAAATTTCGTGCAAAAAACAGCATTAATGGGAAGTTTTAATTCATTACTTTATTTTGAAGAAAAGTGCTACTAAAAATTATCATATACTTTGGGAAGCTTATGGTAAACATGCTTCATCTCAAGATACTTGTGAACATTTGTTTAAACACTTTAAAAGTGATCATTTCGACGTGAAAGTCAAAGAACGTCCAGGTCAACCAAAAACATTTGAAGACCATCAATTACAAGCATTATTGGATGAAGATGCATGTCAAATTCAAAAACAACTTGCAGAAAAATTAAATGTTGCTCAGCAAACAATCTACAATCATTTACAAGCAATGGGAAAGATTTTAAAGGAAGGTAAATGGATGCCACATCAACTGAACAAAAGACAAATGGAAAACTGAAAAGTCATTAGTAAAATATTGCTTCAATGGCACGAAAGAAAGTCTTTTTTGCATCAAATTGTCACTGGTGATGAAAAGAAAGAAAACAATGCTCTGCATTTGGTGGGATCAGGAAGTTGTGGTATATTATGAGTTTCTAAAACCAGGTGAAACCATTAATACTGATTGTTACTGACAACAAATAATCAATTTGAATCACACTTTGATTTTAAAATGACCAGAATGGGCCAGAAGACACAGCAAAGTAATTTTGCTTCACGATAACACCATCACACACTTCAAAACCAGTTAAAGACACATTAAAAGATCTTGCCTGGGAAGTATTAACCCACCCACCATCTTTGTCAGACCTTGCTCCTCCTGATTTCCATTTGTTCCAATTGATGGCATATGCACTTTCTGAGAAGCACTTCAAAAAGTACAAAGTGGAAAATTGGGTCTCTGAATGGTTCACCTCAAAACGAAGAAAGTTCCATTGGGACGGTATCCACATATTACTTGAAAGATAGGGGAAATGTGTAGCTAGCAATGGACATTACTCTGAATAAAGCATTTTTGATGTTTCTCTTGAAATTATTGTGTTTTCTTTGATTACACAATCCTCATTATTAACCAGTATACCTGGTATTGGTGTACTATACAATGGAGTCTAAAGCCACTAACGTGCTCCAAGTAACAATAAAGAGATAAAGAGTAAAAATTATCTAAACAGAAAATACACTGAGAAGAAGATGGCATGGAAAGAAAGAAATTTAAAAAACATTCGTAGCTTAATTTATGAATAATACAATATAAGAATAATTAGTGGACTCTCAAATACACTGTTAATAACTCATTCTCAACTTGCCCCGTGGGGCATGTGCCTCATGTTGGGAACCACAATTTTATACAGAAGCATATGTGCATATAATGTCATCTATGCATTGCCTTTGCATATATTTGTCTGCTTTTTCTGTAATTCTGGTCAATCTGTGTACATAATTACAAAAACATTCAAACACAAGCACAAATGGAAAAAATGTAGAACAGTAAGCCAGACAAATACAGACTATCCAAAACAATTTTTAATGAGCTGAATGAACTTGAATACAGATTCCTACAGAATCAAGCAGACTGCTTGATTCTGTAGGGAAGCTTTTAGCCTGATTGGCTGAAGTACTTCAGAAAGCAAAAAAACCATTATACTGTACAGTAATCAGCAGAGTCAGAAATAAAAGTATAGAGGAATGTAGGCTCTATTTTATTCTTAATGTCAGCTTTTTACATTTGATATCAACTTTTCCTGGTAGTTGGTAGCTGCTTTTTTTAAAGTCATGTGATGTTGAAATGTGATATTAAATATTAATACAAAGCACATAATAATTGAATTTAACAATTTCTTTTATTATGGGTCTTAATATTTCTCAGTTAAACAATTCACATTAATATTATCTTGTTAATATAATTATTATTTTTGTTTCTGTAAACATTAAAGAACTGAATAAAGTACAAGTTAGCAACATTCTGTGAGAATCCTGACTTCAACATAAACAATTTAACCTCATAACATCAACTTTGTCAACTGTTTGTTAACTTTCCCACCTGGGAGTATATCTTCTTTTAAGTTCTTTGAATTGATAAAGATGCTTTTTCATGACTTTCTGACCTGCAGTCCTGATTTTGTTGTTTTAATATAACAACTAACTACCAACTATCAGCAGTCATTGCTAGTTCCTCAACCAGGCCACTCACTTCCATGTGCCTCGAATTTTGGATACATTTGGATACATTGTTTTAATCATATCATCGAGTACATCATTTTATTTCTTCTACGGGTATGTCATCCTTCTTGCCTGCAGCCATACTATCAACTGTTGACCTCTGAACTTAGAACTATCATCTAGAAATTTCTTCTTTTCGACCCAACCAGCGAGCATCTGATCTTCAAATCCTCTACAAGATATTTATCCTCCGCAGGCTCTAGTGTAAACTCTCTCTCTTGTGACCACATCTATATAGTTTCAATATATGTATCATGAATCCTTTTTTTCTCTTTTTACAAATAAACAGTTATTTGTTTGGTTAACTGGAATCCAAGTTACTTCCAACCCACTGTCTTGCAGTCTCCACCCCGAATCTGATCACACAAACGTGTGTGTGTGTGTGA